TATATAAGTGCAATAATCTTGCACGCGACGTTAAACCCAATTTCATCTCACCTTAAGAACAAATCAATATATATTACAAAACCAAAAAATGGTGTAGTTTGGGTAGGACAAACCCCAATGTAAAACGAGTCTGCCGAAATACAAACATGAAATCATATGCTAATATTACAAAGACATATGCTGACATGACGACATGAAGACACATGAATGTCTCGTGTACATGTCAATAATCCATGTATGTGAGGTTATAAAAATCTTAAACAAAACTGCAAACAATCAAATATCTTCACCCCTAAACTTAAATTACCCAAAATAGACACAACACTAGCTAGCCAAATAAATAAACAAACCGACCCAAACATAGCTAAAACTACCACACTAGCATACATACACGAAAATTGGCCAAATTGGTGTCACATTTACACGGACGGATCCTCAGATCCGACCTCCAAACACACAGGTTTCGGAGTCCATACCACTAAACCAACTAAAACCACACAATCCTTCCGACTCCCAAACAACCAATCAATATTCACGGCAGAACTAATGGGCATGGCCTCAGCCCTCCATAATCAAGAATCCAAAAACCACCAAAAATCCTAATACCTACCGACTCCCTAAGTGGACTGCAAGCCCTCCAAAACAAAAATACCAAAAACCGACCTAAATTAATAAATCAAATACTTAAAAGCTCCAACGACCTAACTAAGGCAGGCAAACAAATGACCTTCTTGTGGATACCCGCCCACGTAGGAATATACGGTAATGAAAACGCCGATAAAGAAGCTAAACTATCCCTCAAAATCTCAGAAATAAGCTTAAACTTACCCATCACAAAATCAGAAATTAAAAGCGTAAGCAAGCAAAAAATCACAAAAATGGCATAACCTATATCAAAATTCAAATAGCCAAATCAAAAAAGTGCTCAGCAAACCACTAACCAAACCAAAAATTCTCCATCCACCAAAACAAATCGACAGAGTAATCACTAAACTCCAAACAGGACACACCAACCTAAATAACCACCTAAAAAATTAAAAAAACACACTACAGGTAACTGCCCACATTGCAAACAACCAGAAACCCCAGAACACGCACTCATCCACTGCACACACTACCTAACACATCGATCCGCATTACAAACCACCCTCAATCTAAACAAGGCTCTCACTCTAGAAGCAATACTAAACCCACAAAATAAACTAGAAAACTTCAAGGCCTTAGGCGTATTCTTATTAAAAAACGGAAGTAATAAAACGCATCTAAAAACACAATAACCTACCAAATCAAAATCACATAAACAAACAAACATCCACCATACCCAGCTCCCTAAGTTCTCCTCCCCAACCCCATCGGCATCTATTCCAAATCTCAAAATTCCCAAATTCTACATAAGCAACCCCTAAAGCCCCCTCTTGGGTTGCACATACCACTTTCGCCTCTTTCGGAAACACATTAAATGGCCTGGCCGGGCCTGTGTGCGAAATACGCATCAGTCGGAAAGCGCACGTTAAATATCCAAAGTAAGTAAGTAAGTAAGTCAGCCACTTCAGCAGCTGCCCCACCCTCCAGATCTGGCTTCTCTGTGTTGAGTGTGCAATATGTCTCTTCAGGTCCCTTGATTTCACGTGACATGACGCTGAGGCCATCGTATGTTCGGTCTTTAAGTTGAGTTTCGTCGTTGTCTCGTGATTGTTTTGTTTTAACCTTTGACAGATGACTTGTGTTGTAGTAATCATGGGAATCAGATTCCTGCAGTTATGGTCTGAAAATAGGGATATATGAAACATCAGGAATAAAATCTTTACGTTAATTCATGGCTCTAAAAAACAATCCATATGATGAGTAGCAAATAGTTTTATTACATTACTTGCTATGTGTTTTGAAAAACATGATATCATCACGTGTACTGGAAGTGTAATCAATTGTTCAATTAGATTGGGCCAGAGATTAAGTACCTTTGTCTCCTTCTCCAGCAAACAACACCGACGGCAGCCCCTGCAGCTACCAAGATAACAATTGCTGTCACTGCATATATAAGTATTTCCTCACCCCCGACTGGGTTGTTTTGCTGAGGTGAAGATGCTGGAAAAGAAGTTATACTTGTAATGTGGTGATGACAAATTGGTCAATGGAGACTAATATACTGTGTTATCACACGTTTGAATATGATCACTTTTGCAGATACTATTTTTTCTTTTGATTGAAGATCAATCATATCTGTCACAACACTTATATTCTTAATGCCTGTCTTATATTCAATCTCTTTGTAATCCCTTCTTGAAGACACCTTCCGAACCTTCTGACGCATTTCAATCATCACATTTAAAGGACCAATCAGGTTTGTATTCTACGTAGATATTTTGAACGTAGATTTGGTGGAAAGTATTTGTGATGAGCCAAATAGTTTCAGCGGGTTGAAAGAGCGAATTCACGTTTAAAGATCATGTACCTAAACCATAATTGTCACCATTATACTTACACCACTCCACTGAGACGCAATACAACAACGTAGGCAGATATCCTGAAAGCTTAATTCAAACTGACATCCCCAGTGAAAATGACGCGACCTTTGTAATGTATGTATGACGCTATAAAGGTCTACAGATGGAAAACATAGCATTTTGACAAGGTGGACATGACGTGAAAGTACGTGAAAGAGTATCGCCAAAACCCATGCCATGTTGATGTTACTTAATTTTGCAATACACTCTCAATATTGAGATATATTGACACACTTGATGTAAATAATGTGTGAACTCGACTATTTAGCAACGTTGATGAAAGTAAAATCAGTATTTGAAGTCATGAAACGGACGGGTTTGCGTAAGAGGTGCTTCTAAATAAATATCATTTTTTTATCAGTATTTCGATCAACATAGAAAACACTGACTGTCCAGTCAGAATACGGCATTATAAAATGTCAAGGTAGAATATTGTGGAAGCCCTTTTACTTGTCGTTTTATTGCAATTTAGAGGTCCCGTGCAAAAGAAATTTTAGCTAGTAACATATAGGTTCCCTTCTGTTTTACTCCAAGATTTACGTGTATCACATCCACTATACCTCCGTGCCAGTTGGCACCCCGGCACGGTGCCGTTACATCACGACATGCACGGTGTTCACCGTGGGTCGTTCTAGCTTCAGAATTTACTCATTGCCAGTAAATCTAAAGAAATATGTTCTGTTCCAAAATTTGCAAAGGGCTTTGAACAGCGTGGTTGAGAGACTAAGGATCACGGTCATACAGACTCCAACTTTCATTTCCTTCATAGTACATGAACGTTACAGTTGATTGACAGAATAAAACTTGACTCATGTTTTCAACAATCTAGGTTTACGTATAATATGTATATAAATACATTTCACATGTACCGTGAAGTGATTGCTAAGCTGCTTACTTTATAACGTTCTATAATGCATTATTTCAGCAATGAACACAAACAATGGTTGTTATTGTAATAGCCAGATTTACCAGTAAATCATAAAACCAAGATACGCTCACTCTAATCTGAAGATACCTAATACTGTGTTTATGAACCTGACAGTTGGTACCTGCAATCTGTGATGCTGACCTTTACGCCGGGGTCGCATGTATCCTTCAACGCAGCCAGAGAAACACTCACCTGCACATTTGTTACACATCCTCGATGCTTGAGAATATGTATGGTCATCATGGCTATCCAAAAATATGTCCTTATTAAACCAATGGTGTTTGTACCTGTACAGTCCGCTCCTGTCCACCCTGCCTCACACCTGGTGTCACAGCGCCCTGTTGAGTTACAGGAAGAGTTCCCCTCACAGTGTCTGGAGGCACAGGTCTTGATACAATCAGGCCCGTAGTGCTGGCTGTCACAGGCTAATAACATAAAAGCAAATCACTTGTTCAACAATCAGGAGATAAATACTTCATTTTGTGTGATGTGATGTGACTATTCCAAGTGCCTCTTTACTATCTGAAATATGTTTCAAGTAGCACAATACAAGTTTGTTATATACCTGTAGATTTAGGTTGTGTCCGACCTGCCTTACATCCACATAGTGCCCTGTTGTGTTACAGGATGGGTTCCCATACAATGTCTGGAGATACAGGTCTTGATACAATTATCTCCGTAACGTTGACTGTGTACTATCGATATGCACTGCATTCATCACTACAGACCGAATCCTCTTGGAATTGGCTTACAGAATCATACCTGTACAGTCGTTTAGTGTCCACCCTGTCTGACATCCCCTGTCACAATGCCCAGTTGTGTTACAGGAAGAGTGTCCCACACAGTGTCTGGAGGCACATGTCTTGACACAGTTTGGCCCATAACGATGAGGTTCACAAGCTGCAACATGAACAAATATGTATACAATCATTATTTTGAATTGACATCTTTAATTTTTTTATTAAAATTAAATAATGCACTAATTAATTGACAGTTTCTCTCAGTACATAGCAAGCTGCAATTCTGTCCATACATGTAGGTCCCAGGGTAACAGTCTGTAAAATGATAGTGATATCGTCATATGTGCAAAGTTGGATCTTGATTGACCTAAGATGTACATCCCGAAGGTGATGGGTGTGCATATGTACACAAACTACACGTTCAGCTTTCTGTACACAGTAATCTACGTGACAATGCAACGTTTAAACATGTGTATCTGTCTATTTATACAGAAGAGTGATGATGGTGTACCTTGTTTACAGTCCACACCTGTCCACCCAGGAAGACATCCAGTGTCACATGACCCTGTATGCCGGTCACATGACGACGGAGCAGCAGCACATTTACCACATGTCTCGTTACAGTTGACGCCATAACGGTCCTTATCACATGCTAGAAATGAAAAGTATCGTACGTTTTCAGCGTGTGTTGATCAGAATCATTCGGAACATGAGGTAAATGGTTATCGTTATACATTTATTATTAAGACATAGGTATTCAAGTTTACATCATTTTTCTCATACAAGAAATATATTCATATTACAGCAATAATGTTGTTAGTTCCTTACCAGTAGAACAGTTTTGTCCTTGCCACCCTGGTCTACAGTCACCAGCACAGATCCCACTGAATCTGTCACAGTGCCCGTCAGAACAATGGCAGAAATGGTTGCAAAGTTCGCCAAAGGTTCCGTGACTGCAGACTAAAAACAGCATTGGCGTTGTTCATGTCTCTGCCTCAAACAATTGGTAGTTAAGAAATAAGAACTGTACGTTGACGTTGATTGTTGAAATTACAGATGTTATTATGAATGTAAAGAGATCTGAAAGTCATAGATGTTTTCACTTTGATGAAACACATAAACCCTAGAATGCCGCTGACCATAATCAGGCGATCAGAGGATGAATTATGCACAGTGAGCTGTGGAATATCGACCCAACTGACGACTCCTGGCATCCGGGCATTAAGAGCTTGAATACTAGTAATTCAAAGATCTTATGTGTGTTACAAGTATTAGTCTATTTATGTAACATGGGTTCTTTCTACGAAGGAACAATGTCTTTAGCAACACATCACAGAGGGGCAAACGAAACTCAAAATATCCTGTTGCATAACACTGCCTCCTGATTAACCAGTCATGATGGAAGGCCTATCTGATTCAAAGATAGATCAACAAAACAAACAAATGTTTATCAATACCAAATATTTCCACCTCACACAGATTTAGTGTCTCTGTGCTGTGTGTGATGGTGAAGTGTCTCCCTGTGCCGTCACACGTCACGTCGTATACGCTGTTGTCTGTTTCAGCTGTGTCAGAGGGGAAGGTGTAGCAGGTTACGCCGGGTGTGGAGCTGCTAGAGTTACTCAGGGAGAGGACAGCGGTTTGGAGTCTGTCAATAGCTGAAATGGTGATCATTATAAGGCGACAAAAAATCATAAAACATATCTGATAAAAGTCGTTTGTGCGATTCCAACTATATCATAAGCATGTATGTAAGACATAGTTGTCCCCTTTTAAGAAATTATGTTCTCAAATTATATATCCTGTGTATGATATGCTAGTAAAAACTATGTGCCTTTCATATCTCATCAAAACTAGCAAGATTTTTGTGATGATTTGAGTGATGGAGCATTCACATCAAACGAACACACACCAAGCATTTGTGAAAACTGTGACAGCATATTGTTGATACTATGTCTTGCATCCAGTTTATGTAGAATTCAGGAACGCCATAGCTTTGTGCGTAAATATAAATGGTCAATGCAAGAGAATAACCAGTTTAGATTAATGCTTAACAGATTCAATTTGGCGGAAAGGGCAAAATAGCTGTAAAAATTATGATTATATAAATGGAGCGCTGAAAATACGTGGTGACACTAAATGTTCAAAATACATCGTACTCTGGTTCTTCCATTCCACAGAGGAGATTCTGAATGATCAATAAGAATATATTAATTCTTTGAGGCAAATATTAAGGGAGACAGCTATTGTTTGACAAATGTAAATTCAAAGGGGAACTGGAACTGCAACGTGTAAATTTCGGGGTATTGTGTTCTTATTCCGTTTGACTTGAGTTATGAATAATGAAAATATGACAAGCGAGGGGACACAATATCCATGTAGGTGCTAATATTCAAATAGACGCCCACTAACAAGGTTCAGAGTCTTCAGGATGATGCAGAGTAATTCCCTGAAATGGAATAGTTCGTTAGCCTGTTTTAGGTAAGGTACTAACATATTAAAGGAATAACAAGCTGGTCGAATATTTCAGGTAATCCTGTTCCACAGGTAATCCAGATATAATAATAAGCCGGCGCCCGAAGTACAATGCATAAAGATGCCCTAAAAAGTAAGATGCACATGTGATTTTATTATGCCTCAAAATGAGATTGACCAATCAGAGAGCAGAACTAATGACCGGGCATGAGCCCGTATACCGTCAGTAAAATACCAAGATGGATGTTACAGGCCTAATATGGAATGTATACCGTCAGTTACAGCCATCTGGATTTTCCAACACCCACTTCACATATTTCACATGAACATTCGGGTACAGAAATTCTTTATTAGACACTTTTTTGTATTTTAATATAATCAATTTTGATGTGGAAGGACATTAATATTTTTTTTATCACTTTCTTGACTTTATTGATAAAGATTATAGTTAAAATAACCAACAAGGTTGTGTATATGTGTGTGTGTGTGTGTGCGCGCGCACGTGCGTGCGTGTGTATATATTTTTCTGCTAACCAAATATGACACCGTATACGCCAACTAAAGACACCATAACTAATAATATGTAGTAATTGTTGAAAATGATATTGACAAAAATACCAAAAACGAAGTAGTCGCTTTATCATGCCATAAAGATGATCGAAATATTTGCAAACCAAACAACCACTCACCAAATTACCACAAATGAAATCTACATTTGCTACGATATCCTGATGCAGGTGTTATGAAATAGAGTATCTTCATTGCATCTTGCATATATGGGTCTGGAGTTCTGTTCTGTAAATATGTTTACCTAAATATACATGTCAGTACATGAAACCTCTCTACAGTCCAAATATATCACATACATACATCCTGCCCGGTGGTTATTTTTGATCAGCATGAACTAACATGTTTTGTGACGCTTCCACCAATATCCCAATAAATCAAATAACATTGTCCGAACTGATACATACATTGCCGGCGGTTGTATATCCTGACGTCGTGTATCCTGTACGGCTGTCCCAGGTCCACTGTCCACACACTTGGCCGTGCTAGCAGGGAAGCGTGGAAGCAGGAGAAGTGCAAATAATCCTGGTCCTGGTTCCCATCTACAACCTTGTCTGCAGACCACGAAGGCAAATGGAGTCCAGAAGGAGTTGTCGCTGATTTTCCTTTCGCAATGTTTTCTGTTTGGATATATATTTTCAAAGACATGTCACACAAAGACTTGACCTGACCAGAATGGTTTATATTGTTCAGTAGGAGATGAATCTTTCTGGTGAGGCCCATGTTATGCATAATAAAGAAAATGTTTATTCGGTTTGCCTGAGCTGATGTCTCGTTTTAATAATTTTGGACATAAAACTATGATTAAAAGTGATCTTCATAGAAACGAATGTGACATGTCCCCCATTTTGTGGATTTTGCAGGATTTACGTATGCAAAGTTTCAACATTTAAATGTTTAAACGACCTAATATGAGGGAAAGTAAATGCTGAAACTTCAAAGGAATTTGATCTTGATAGATCCTGTAGGACAGCATGAAATATTCAGTTTCAAATTTTCGGGAATATGGAATTCTGTGATGACCCTTCCAACGTTATTGGATGGATTATAAAGATATATAACTACAGGTAACTTACTAAATGGTTCCGTAATGGGTAGGTGTGTCACAGTGAGTGAGTGAGTATGGTTTTACACCGATTATAGCAATGTTCAAGCAATATCACGACGGGGGACACCAGAAACGGTCTTCATAAATTGTACCCAATGCGGGATTCGACCCCGGGGCTTCGACGTGATGAGCGAACGCTTTAACCACAAGGCTACTCCGCCTCCCGGATGTGTCACAATCTGATTGGATGCATCAATAGGATTCAAAGCCTGGGAATCTTCTGGACTTTCTATTGGTGCGAAATTTTAAATTGCGTTTGGCATTAATCATAGAATTTCTTTGATTAAAAGTCAAACAAAATTCTTGGAGAGTGTATACAGCATTCTGTTAACCTTGAGGCTTCAGTTGACATTCATTGCATCATAACCTCATCATAACGTCATGGCATACCAGAGTGACGACATGTATGTCTCACAGCTGTTGGAGTACCCGTCGAAAGAGAATATTATGGAAATCAACGATAACTTTTATATTTACCGTGTTGATAAACATTATGTGCTCTCATATTTTAGATGTCATTGAGGATCCAATGCTCAGCAGTTGGAACATTTAAAACCTACTTTCATTAAAAAGTCTCAGGGAGCCATTAAACTAACACATGTAAATATATAACGTCAACTCCAGAGGCTAGCCTCGATCCTCCACCTGGCGCAAAAGGCAACACATCGGTGACAACTACACGAACGGATCACTGAAAATTAGTGATGGCACCAGGAGTTCACGAAAAAGGGAAATCATGTCCTGCTCTACTGGTAGCACCTGCCACTCAAACAATTTGCATAAAATGTAAGTAAACTAACCAGAATCAAATATATTCTAGCTCATCTGAATCAAAACTGATTCTTTTCAATATCGGAAATGTCATTAGCCATGTCTTGTGTTTATTGTGCATCACAGGCAACGTTGATAATTCCACCTTATCGACTGAAAAGTAAATATACCATATTAGTGTAATATGTCACCATAAGAGTACATGCAGTTATAAATGTCATGACGCAAAAATATGTATTGCTAAATTATGAAAGACAGTCAACTCTGAAATGAAATACTCAGATATCAACAATTTAGCCAATAATGGAGATTAGGTTGAATCAGTCATATTTCAATATGTATTATATTCATATTCATACTAACCGAAGAAGGCTGTTATTATATTCGTGTACGTGATAGTGAGTGAGCGAGTTATAATGATGTTGCGCCGCTTTAAGAAGTATTCATTCTCACAATCATGGGGGACCTCATAAATGGGTTTCAGACATTGCACTTACCCGGGCCTTCAACGTTACGGGCCAACATTGTACCAACAACAGGCAATTCGACTGCCGTCAATATATTTATGCCTTAACACAGCTAAAGTAATTAAGTTTGGGGATTAACGTCGCATGCAAGATTATTGCACTTATATAGCGACGTGTATGCACGTGCGTGTGTGTCTGCTTGTACTATTCCGGACAAATGCCGATTTTATAGTGCTGGCCCACTGAGATACAATGTCGGCAGTTTAACATACCTTAATTCAGACACAGTATACTGACTCCGAGCCGACCAGTTCTTGTTTTAGCCCCTTAATGACCAGCGCCAGACAGGGGGTCAACAAGTACCATCTTTTAACGTCTTTTGGTATGACGCGGCCGGGGATCGAACTCCGCACCTTCCGCTCTCCGGACGGAGGCTCTACCATTAGATCACGGAGGCGGTACTAATAAAGCAGAATGTTTTAAAATAGGTATTGTAAGTATGTGGCTGATGATAGAGAATAAGGGCACTTTCTGTTTTTGTTTCCAAATCAATGTCATTTTAAATCACACCTTTCTGGCAGTAAGATCCATTTCCTCCCATCCAACCAGACTCACAGCCACCTCCACAAACTCCTGTTGTCTGGTCACAGGAGTCCCCACAGTGACAGGAGTAGAAGCAGGAGTCTCCGAACTTTCCTGTTGGACAGGAACCTGTAAAACATACTCAGGGGTGAAAAACATCAAATATGGACAGCAGCAAATGCATACATTTGAATAGAGAATTTAAAACTATCTGCATTACAACCATACACACACACGCAGGCAGGCACATACATATTCTTAAAAAAAGAAACGCAAAGCCAGATTAGTGTGAGGTACGAGGAACCGTACAAGGTATTGAGCCAAAATGTTATGGAGAGAACACTTGGTGATTGTAGTCGGTACATAGAAAAAGTCCAAGGTGAAGGTCGGCTACCATCAATTACGCGTATGATTCCCGTTGGAATCGATAGCGACCTGGAAGCAGAGTGGAAACAGAAGTCTTGGTGCACATCCTGGTTAGAGTTCCCATCTACAGCTTTGTCTGCAGACCAGGCAGATGACCACAGTCGAGGAGGGGATGAGGCGTGTGTTCCCTTTTGATTTCAACACAACATTTCACTCAAGTAATGAACACAAGTAGTGTTCAGAATAGACATTACACTGTACGAGGCATACATATTTCTTCAAAATCAAACCATACATTAAAACGCATCGATGCCTAAAATGGTATTAATATTACTTGTAACAGTAACATGTTGTATGGATATGTTGACAGAAAAGGGCGAATCCAGAATATGAACCCTCGACACACACCCAAAGAACCACCCAACCAATCACCCAAGCAAATACTCACTCGTGGGCAAATCCAGAAAACTTACGCTCGACACGAGGATCGGGACAACACGTAGTACCTTAAGTTGCAGCCACCTTTGTTCGAATAACCTTTGAGTACATATATCCTGCATTGCATTATCAAATGTATTTTATACCTTTCAAATGGTTTTGTGGAAACATGTAGGCAGACTAAGCATTCAATTCATAGTTATCATGATAGTGTTTCGGGGTTTGTCTGCATCATGCCAGTGTTCTCTGGTTTCATCACACTGGTGAGCATCTTCTGCCTGCATCACTTTGGGTCTTCCTTTCCGCGAACACCTGGTGTCATTACTATTTGAGCGTGATTCATAAACACGTGCTCATGATATAGTCGGAATTGTACAATCGACTCTGCTTTATGCACAGAATTCTATTGGATAAGGAAAGGGTTTTGTCGCTTTTTTCGCACATCAATCTAGCAGCCTCAACCTGACACGCCCTTATATAAGTGAAATACTGTCACAGTGAAACTCACTCAATCTAACCGGCCATAGACACTCCAATACAGTGCAGTCGTGATATAGTGCAATCGCATTTAGATACCATGTATCACTTTAACTGGTCAAATGGTCAAATGAGGTCGAATGAGGTGAGGTGAATTTTAACGGCACGTTCAAGATTATTTCACACATAGAGGAAGTGCGCATGCATGCATTAGTCCAGACTTATGTCTTGTTAGTGCAATCTCATTTAGATACTGTGCAGCACTTTGTACGTTTGACTCACACATTGTAGAGCCTCCGAGTCGGGCAGTCCTTACTTTACCCCTAACGCTGAGCCCCAGACAGCATAACAGCAAGTGTAATCATTTAGTGTCTTTGTTATGACACGTCTGGGTAATCGAACCATCGACCCCTTCGACCCCTTCCCCTCTTCAGACACACTGGCGGTTTGTTCAACGGAAATGGTAGTAATCAAATTATATTACATGCATTTTCTGTTAGGCTTTGCAAAGATATCATTTCTGAAACACTGCGCATCACAATTTTCTACAACTTTAATCACCAAGCCATTAACTGTAATACCGTCGTGCTCAGTGTTGTTGACAGTGATTGTCTTGGCTAAAACTCTCGTGCAACAATAATGCAAAATGAGGTAGTGACATTACAGTAATCGACCTAAAGATACAATGTATATCAAATAAGGAAGCATGATGTGTCACTCACAAATGATAACCTGTATCAAGCAAGCCGATGTGACCACGGTAACAGTCAGTATCCACACACCCGCCATGTTTGACAACCAGGAAGTTGTTTCCGCTTGACTGTATAGCTGGGACACCTGACGTTGCCCGCAGTCAAAATATTCATGGACGACTATAAGCTGGGGGCTGCTTACATACAATGTGAATATGTGAGATGCATGTGTGTCTTTGTCTCTCACCATTCAAGTAATCGTAGAGGAGGCTCAGAATTCGTATTCAAACAAACATTAAGTCTCATTTCCGTCAACTCGTCAAGAAAAGGATATTTTAGGTGGCCTCATTATATTCAGCTTTCAAAATATGTTGTAACTTAAAGTGCATTGTAATAGATAACGTGGACACGTTAATGGCAAAATCACAGTTTCTGATGGGATGTTATTGTTGGGTGTTCGATACACGATCCCCGCACATGTCGAGGTTTTTCATAAAGTAAGAAAAGTCTACTTTCCTCAGTTTATGAATTAGACATGATCATTGTTTTACATTAGTCGCATGAGTGAGACACACAAACAACAGGTGATCTGTGTGTAGGAATCAGGCAATATCCATCGTTGTGTACTGAGGAGGCAGACAAACCGAAATAATATAATTCATGGGAGTTACACAAACGTCATTTGTATTATAGTAGTTGTTTGGAGTCATTCGCTGCCGAGGACTGAATGGAGAGTTTGCAGCATATGTTGAATGCTTAATTTCTATTTCATACTGCCTTAATAGTGCGGATAGGTGAAAAGCACCCATACGTTACATGATGCATTGTGACTGTATATTGTGTATTCGAGAGAGGGGAACAACTGAAGTGTGTATTCGGGTGGCTTCATCGACTTAATGGGAAGAGGTCATGATCAAGCTGCACTAAAAAGATGGGGATACATGTTTTCAGGAAACAACACACAGCTTCCTTCCAGTGTAAGGTAAAAGTTATAATGCCATGATTATAAATAATAAAGTCATAGGCTATTCGAGTACGTTATCAGATTGTGGTACGTGTATGTTTAAAACTCACAATGAAAGGGCGTTTATTACAGCATAATGTGATTTAGTCTCACTGTACATGAAGAGGACAATATACTTCCCTGTGCCATTTTAAGCAGTACCTCTACTACTGGTTGAAAGTTACAACTTACTCACTGTGGATATTCCCTAGGTATGTAATAAACATATTATCGTGGGTTCTATTCCGAGTCCGTTTACTATATCATATTTGTCGATATCACACCATCCCAAGCTGACGACCCGTGATATCATTGTTAGTGAGGAATGCTCAAAGTGGTCGTGAGTGTAATCTCCTCACTCTTATCATGGCGCTTATATTTCATAATAATTAATAATTAATTTCCGCCATTAGTGAAAGTCTACCATGCTTTAGCACCATTTCCACATTTGCCACAACAATCACGTGGTATGCAAGCTATTCCAAACTTGGGATGTCCATTGCGTATGAGCATGTTTAGGGTTAACACCTACATCTACCATGATTTAGTCGCTTTTTCTATTTATTAACCATATTTATTTGTGAATAACCATCCTCTTTGTTTATATAAATCATTTTAAACTTAGTCAGTGTTTGAGTTGTAGATCAGCTGGACCTCTCAGGCTTGCTCATGACCAGTCAGAGTGAGCAGAATAACATCGTCTCGGCCGGAGGGTCTTACATAAGCAAACTCGGTCATAACTTACTCATAATATAGTCAGTAAATGTGTCTCTTTCTTCCCTAATAAAAAAATGCAAATGTGCAGATAGAGAAATAAGTAAAGTAATTCAGATATTGATTAAATAAAAAGAAGCTTACATGGCTAGGATCATGGTTCATGATTACCTTTACAGTAATGGAACCCGATAGCATTCCGGACCACCGAGTGTATGTACTTTGATACGCATGATACGCGTTTTTAATCACATAAAAACCTGCAGGACATGTTTGTGCCTTCCACACTGCTCAGGTTGAGTCAACTTACCTGTGACACACTTGTCTCACTGGTTATAGCAAGGTTGATACAGTAATGTCCTGTTTCGCGACCTGTTTCTGTGGTCTAGTAGAGCGTCAGCCTTAGAGCGGGAGGTGGGCGGTTTGATCAAGTGGCCGCGTCATACCAAAATACATAATTAAGATGGTACGCGCACAAGTACGTTTACAAAGATTGTCGAACTTTGGTAGTGTGATAATTCAAGTCTCGTGCAATTCAAGAGGTTTCAGAGCATCACAAATAAAATAGTTTTTGTAGAAGCGTCATCACAAAATTCACCGCCACAGTCGATTTACGAATGTTGACTTTTTGTTGCGAATGAGAGTTGACCTCTTTGGATCCATTAGCCAGGCAATAGAAACGTCGTGTTCACTATGGCAGTAGATGCAATCCCGTATCGTGAATGTGTGGTGCTCGCAAGTGATGTTGTCCGAATGAAGTTACAAGTTTATAATAAATACAAAATATGTTGACTTGCAAGAAATCATATGACACGACGCTATGAGTAGATCTTGTCTCGGGCTCCCCTTGCCTACATTGAATCGAGTCTGATGTAACGAAGCCAGATAAGTCCTTTGGATGCAGATGTTTCTTATCTTTTCTTATTATTGATATCATGTGCAGAGTTGCGCCCCTTGGGCTCACCAGAAACCTATGATTGTGGGTTCGAATCCCGGTTTGCCCCTATTATGTTTCTAGGTTTGTCAACACCATGCCCGTGCTGGAGGGTTTCACCAAAGTGGTAAACGTCTGGGACCTGCATCACTTCGAGCTTTGCTCCCACATTAGAAACCTGTTATGTGGGTATCGCAATTATGAAAAGATGTGTTTTCTACCAATGGTAAAACCTGGGAAGAGGTTTTACATTTTTACCAAAACCCTGTGATGAGGTTTTTGAAAATTTAGTAAAACCTCATCCCAGGGTCTTTGTAAAAAGGTAAGACCTCCATACCAGGTCTCGGCACTGAAAAAACACACCAGATACACACTGATTTTTCATCACATAGTCTTACTTAAAGGCACATACCCGGACTTCTGCACAAAGACAACAGTAAACAACAGCCAGTAACATCCTTTAATGAAACTTAAATGTAAAGTAGAGAGACGCTTTTTGGGATAGACCTTCCAGACTTGCCTCAGTCGTTGAGTTGGTGGCGCACAAGACACTGTCTCCGTCTTTTAGGAATCTTCCTTCCGATAATGTCTGAAGCCTTGGGCTTTAGATCGTCGCTGGTGCGTTTGTAGATGCGGACAGCACTACTCCGGTCCCCTAAAAAATATTTGTTATAGTTAATTACAACAAAGTATACTACCGTATGTTCTAAACATCTATAAAGCATTAAGCCACTATAGAAATATGGCAACATCAAAATACATTTTTATAGTAAAAAAATAGCCATTTCTATATGCTTGTTTATTCACAGATAATATTCGAAACAGTGATAATCATAAAATAGTGGTAAAGGACTGTCCTATACATTGAACTAAACTTACGAGTTTGTTGGAAAATCTGCTGCTCGCTTACTTCCGTCACTTTCTAAATACGCCAACGGCCCAGTCGTTCTTGTATTTGGTCTTTTGGGGAACACATACGTCGAGTTTCTTCTGAAGTTCTTCTTCAGACGATGGAGATGCAAAACGAAAGTGAAAATCATCTGCGTCGTCACTGACATCCTTAGTTTCCACAAACTTACTTTAAGTTAGAAATAGGTCTCTGCCTTCCTCCTCGCTCGACATCTCGAACTCAACTAAGAAAGACAACCACGTGTTCTTACCGCATGTATCGCACGTGTTCGGTTCGTGTTTCTATAGCTTATCCTGGCAAAAGTGAGGTAGTAAATCCCCGTTATAGTGTCCTAAATGGGAGACAATTAAATTTGCAGTAATTCTAAACGTTTAACGGTTTCTAAGCGGGATAAAACACTCCTCCTCGGTTTTGGTAGAGAATGCTTTCGCCCCTCGGGATTTCCCTATTCCCGGGGTTTTACATTCTCTACCAAAACCTCTCAGTCGTGTTTTCTCCAATACTTAAGCTGACACGCCGTGATTTAACTGGAAGTTTTTCTCCCATCTGTGTGACATTCCACTTGTTAGACACTTTTAGTAATGATTGATTGATTACTTATCCCATGCCCGTTACCTACGGTGTTCTTGGACCCAACCCTTTCTTCACCCATTTGTCAGCCAGTAAGGAGTAAGAAAACAACACCACAAACTGTTACTTATATGTTTATTTACAGCACTAACAATTCAAAAGACATGAGTCATATCAACAGATTTAAAACAATGTCAGCACTAAAACTAACATATCAAGTCATTTAAAGCACTATCAATTCAAATCGGAAGAGTCATCTCAACACCAAAAAGTCAAAGCACATGAAAGTCACTTAAACCACCTCAATGTGTTTGGTAACGGCATCCAGTTACTGCATTGTCGTCTTTTCCCCGCTGTCCAGGTTTTCTTTTTAGTCGTGCCAGTCGACTGTCAATTACCTTGTATACTCGCTTCCTGGAAGGATTGGCTGCACCAAAGTCAATCTGAGACATTTTGAGCCGATCAGCCTTTTCAATTCATTTCAAAATATCCACAAGTCGGTAAACGTTAGGATGTCGGGCCGACAGGGAAGTATTCAAACGACTGTGGAATCTCTCAATGCTGCTGTTAGTCCTTGCACCGAAGGTGGCGTGATGGTTCCACATCAGGATCGGGAAGAGGGAGTCGTCGTCAACCCAAGTGGTATCCATGTAGTCATTGAAGTCATTGGCCCCCCTGGACAGCAGGGCAGTCATTCATGGCATCAACCTAGATATCCTGAACCTGATGCAAGGGGACAATTGGCAGGGCACACGCGCGTCGGATCCATTGCTCCATTACTCCTAGGCTTTCCTCCATTCGGCTTGACTGAAGTGGAAGAAGAATCTTTTGATGTCGGCAACAGTGGTGCACTTTCTGCTACATGTCTTCACTGTACACCTCCCATGCGTGCATGTCTGGCGGATCTTATTGCGGTTGAAGAGACAACTCCTGGAAGTATACCCGTGGTGTCCCTTTACATGACATAACATATTTGACTTTTTCAATCCTGTCATCTTAATGCAATGCAAGAGTTCACAGCTGTTGGGATTATATAGGGGTCATATCTTTAATGAACTCAATATACATTGGTAAATTATTGTTTGCTTTACTTAATTAGGAAGTCTCAAATGTAGGTGTGAAATTACTTAAACAAAAGAAAAGTTAACAATTTTGTTTAAACTCAAAGAATTCAGTAGTAGTGGTGATAATCAGTCTATCTAGATTGGACTAGCCCGTACATCTTGTATCCGTGTATTTGTGTTTAATTTATTGTAGAAGGTAAACAACTACCTCACGGAAATGATAAGAGATGAAAGCACTTAAGTTTTATCAGCAGATAAAGTTGATCGAACACTTTACTTCAGTACGGACCCGTGTTGGCATATATGTATGTATATATATGAACATTATTACATATGTGTGTGAATATGCACCTAAACGTAATTTTCTGAAAGCATAATTTCTTTCATGTCTAAATTTGTAATACAATGCGTTTTGAATTACCTGGAAATTACATGTACATCTATTTAACAGCAGCTACTTAATTTTCTGAAGACAATATAGCCTATATAAAGTGTGTCAACTGTTCATTTCTATTCAGATCAGATAATGTTATCCAGTAACAGAATGTAGCAGGACTAAATCCAAACTCCATGTTAACCTGCCCATGATGATTTGCAGACTCGCCCATTGTGGCATGATCTCACCATTGGACTCCTGACAACCACGTCTGTTTATGGACTTCAGTCGAGGCGCATCCTCATACAATTGTAAAATTATATAGGTTACATGTTTGTGCGTAAATCATGCTTTTCCCTTTCACTCTCAACTTTACTCGAGATGAACAGCTTTGGGAAACGCCCCACTTTTCTGGTTTATCGCAGTGAATAGATAGATTGGTTCACTTAAAAACGTTCAGCAGATACCGAAATCGTGACTTCCTTGATGTTATTTTCATGGCTTCGTAACGGTAGAAGCTAATGTTTATTTTTTGGACCTTAAAAAGAGAAGGTAACCGTGAGTTTTGATTCCGTTTATTGATGAAGCGCCAGTGATCGTATATAATTACAAAATATTTGCAAAGATGTATACTAAACAAAAAGCAATAAATCAAATAAGTGTTTAAGTTATCTACGTTAAGTAATCCAACCCGTGAGTGATACATTTTAGAATTTGAGTAAATAATTCAAGACTGACTACAGTCGTCACACGTTTTTTTATTAACATATTTTATGCACATAAACATATACTCATATACAGAAATCAAAGCGTGACATTAAAACAATAACAAACATGTGACTATCATAGTCATACAATATTAATGACACTAAAGGCTCCTGGAGCATAGAGACAACAAGCATGGCTTGTGGCTACGGATGCAATGACCCATTACACATACTACTACAACTCTGGGTTTATCTAGGTTTACAAAATGTGAAAGGTGGTATTTTTTATAAAATACGATTTGTGTCAGTACGGCATAGACTATTTTCCTGTCAGCATAGCATGCGAATTTTGAAAACATGTAAAATTGTTTTACTTTTTTGAAAATTATTTTCATATATCATCAATATAATAATACATAATCGCAACGCATCAAGTGAATCGTCTATTACAGATATTTACAAGTTAACAGATCATATAACTTTGTCCTGTCCATGTATTTCAGTTCACCGACAACATACAAAAGTGGTGATGCCCTAATGACAAGGTCTTCATGCAAGCACAGCATAAACTATATTTATAATATAAACATCATGCTGTAACTCATATGTAGAAAAATATAAATACATATATTTTTTTTAATTTGAAGTTTACACGATGTACGGCTTTTTCATTGGACGAGAGGTCGGTCACATAATCGCGAAATTGGCGTTCATAAGTGTATGAACGACACATTTTGACGTTCATACGTTTTTCACGAGACCGTGTTCTTGAAATGACGTAAACACTGACGGACTACTTCCACATTCCTTGGGAAACCCCTGGGAATTCCCTAGCTCGAAAACATACATAAGCGTTCTTTCTGATCATTTAGAACCTTTATTCTTGGTCTCAGCGTTTTAGTAGACTTTGAGAAATGTCAGAGAGCGTGACTGCATCATTATTCACGAATATCCTCGCTACGGCCCATCCTAATGAACAAACGAAGAAATGCACATCTAAACTATCGTAGTATCGACTCGATCCGTTCCTTGGCTGATATGACCGTCTCTAGCAATCTATGAATTTACCTTTGTGTCTGTTTGGCGCATCTTTATTCACCTTTCAATGATCGGCCGGTTGATCAATGATGACTAACACATGTAACCGCCACAGGTTCATTAACAACTTCGGAAATCTCTCCCGTCACGTTTATCGTGTCGGCCATTTTAATGTCTTGTACTTGATGTAAATGTATTACGACGCGCTGTCAATGTGACTGACCTACTGAGGTAGTTCTTGACAGACTTTTCTCATCTAATGAGGATATGATTTGAACACATGTGCTGCGTAAGATGTTTTTGAAGAGCAAGATGTGCATCCATACGCCCATGTCACCTCTCTTTTTGAGGAACTATTTTACTCCGCGAATTAGCTGGTTGTTGTATGGCTGTAAGTGTAAACATGAAGTCACATGTACTAAATAAAATTGTGTTTAGATCTAGGCCTACATCTTTTGAGGTAAGAAATTGTGATAAAAAATTTATAAGAATTGACCTTCACTTTGCGTGAGTTCATTGGAGTATGAACCTCCATAGAGTGAGGGCCAAACATGGTATGAACGTCGTCGCAAGCTCCTACGTTCATACAGTTTGGCCCTCACTCTATGAAGGTTCATACTCCAATGAACTCACACAAAGTGAAGGTCAGTTCTTAATTACGTTAGGTCTTAAGTATTAATATTATCAGTTCACATCAGAGGACATTGGGTTACAGCATAGCTCTCATTGAACTTACACAATTCACATTGTAACTGTGTCTGTGTAGTGTCTGTGCGTCAATAGACACGAGGCTACAGAAATACGTAAATAATGAATTTATTTATCACAATCTTAAACCAACGAACATAGAAAAAAAAATCTTAGAGCTAACGGGCACCTGTCGCGAATATACGTTCAAGTACCAATATATCATTTTATTTAAACAGTAAGTTTGTCAATAGAGAGTCACTCAACCTTCCCGATCTCACTGTATTCACCATCCGTTCCCCGTGACGTGTTGTCAAGGGTTTCATAGGTCCCTGCTGCGATAGAGTCAGACACGTCACATGACGTCAGAACAGTGACATCAGTTTCTATATCTGTTTTGCCAGATTTAACGGTGCATGGCTCTCCTTTCATCTTGGCGTCATATGAGACGGCATTGAGACTGTCGTATGTCCTAGTTTCTGGGCAAACGTCTTCACTGACCTGCGGTCGTTCAGTTGGAACGAGTGATACAGTGGTTGGGCGCGATTCAGATGTCTTGTGTAGGCATCTGGAATGTGAGGACATTCAAAACTTGGTGTAAAGTACATGAAAGACATAGACGCATTATCAAATGACCTCATGTTGTCATTAGGTATGATCCTATTCTTTGGACCAAAAAAACACAATGCATTTTGATTTTTTTTAAATATATATCTTGGAACTATATATTGTGACTCATTTACCTGTTCCTTCTCCTCCAGATAACAGCACTGACGATGGCACCTACTACAGCACCAGCCACGAATGCAAGAACCACTGCGACAGCCAATTGGCTCACGTTATACCCGGCGGCTTGTACACACCTCGCATCTTCTGAACACATAAAGAACAAGATCACGCAATGATTCAAAACAAATATGTTTATTCATTTTAAATGTAAATTTAGCAAACGATAGAGTATAAGCTGTGTCATCAAATACAAACGTGGTCCTTCTTTTGAAATAGTTTGTGACAATTCTCAACCTTGTCTGGGATTTGTGGCATTTCATGTTTTAGGGGGTTTATGAACCTCTCGCTTGCATAGATTTAAAACATAGATTAGTGTGTGAGTAATGCATGTGTACCAGTCGCGACAATTAAAACAGATATGACTTTTTGTATTTTGTTCAGGATACAGCCATTGTGCTGATCAGTACTTCCTTATGGAGCTCCGTTATTTCATTTTATTTTGGTCTGACATGGACATGCATATGTTACTACAGATAGAGATGTTTCATTAACTGTCTTATCTTTTGCATTGAACCAATCTATGAAGACAGTCTCGAAAAGTAAGAGCTTTACAAATTGACAACAATGTGTGTGTTTGTGTGTGTGTGTGTGAGTGTGTGCTATCCCACTGAGATACAATGTCGCTGTCGTTTGGTTTGACTTGGCCAGGAGATCTATCCAAAAGACCACGGAGGGTGTTCAATAGGTTTACAGATGGGAATGATGATGAAAACATCAACAACTCTACGGATAAACGGCACCATCAGTTATAGTCGATGTCAGGGACACAAGCTTTAGTGTTTAACACACGCCTAGTATTGTTTCTGAAATGACTGGGGGCTAACACGCTTTGAATAACACACTTGTTGCAGATTGAGAATTCTCTTCTTTGTCCAAAAAGAAATTCAACTTTGTATTGAGATAAAAGTTTATAGAAAAGGCTGATTACATTTTATAATTTTCCCCAGGGTTATGCTTGTCTTCTTAGGACTAACTATTGTCAACAACACGTATTAAATAATAAGCAGCAACTGCAAGTCAAAGTGAAACTTACCTATGATTTCTAACTATGAACCATATTGCCAAAACAAATAATGTTTATATGACAACAAAATGAAGTAACTGTTACAGGAAACATTCAATATTGTGATATGAGAAATCACGGAGATTCAGAGATCGATGCATTGGCCTCTTAACATTATACATGCATAGTTCTGAAAACGAGGTGCAAAACAAAATAATGTGCAACAAAATAATGTTCTATCTTTCTAAATTAAAATGATGGTGATCCCTGTGCTTTTTACTTCGCCTCGAATTCACACCAAAGTCACTGGATACCTCGTAAACATACGAGTATTGATATTATTTTAGTTTTGTTGAATCATCATTTACGTTAGTGTACAAGAAAACAATATAGTCTTAATTTGTCAAAGCAACTACATTTCTCACTGACATATTTCCATCTATTGCAAACGTGCAGTGCACCGATGAGAATGGCTTTCAATTCCAACTGCTCTTCACAATTTGATTCCAGCGTTTAATGTTGCATTTCTTTGTTTTACAAATATCCGTTACCTATTAAACACATAATACCTTGCCATATTACCCTCAATCCACTGCCAACTCTACAGTCACTGCCTACCTGTTGACATAACATAATTACCTGTACAGTCCGCTTGTGCCCATCCTGTATCACATCCCCTGTCACAGTTCCCTGTTGCGCTACAGGAAGAGTTCCCCACACAGTGTCTGGAGGCACATGTCTTGTCACAGTTAGCTCCGTAATGATTTATATCACATGCTGTAAAGTTATCGAAGGAGCATTATGCTATCATATGCCGTGAACCTAAAATTGGAGACATGGCTGAATTTATGTCAATGTTTATCTTCATATGTTAACTCTGATCTTAGCCTTTTTTAACATGTACAAAATCTAGCCTCCCTAATTTGTTTTTTATGTCTGGAGTACTATCATTACATAGTAAGCCTCTCATAAAGGAGAATCATTACGTCCAACAGTTGCTTACAGTTGTGATACATATTTCAATGTTTCACTGTGTTCAATTTATAATGTAAACTACGGTTGTCACCTTCTCTGCAGTCTTCACTCATCCACCCTGGCTCACACCCGGCAACACATGTCCCTCGTACGTGATCACATGGCGAGTCTCCTGCACACTTCCTGTCTGTGCAATAGTTTCCGCAGCTCTGTCCATAACTTCCAGTTGAGCATGCTGTGAAATCATAATTTCATAAGTATATTATCAAGCATCTATTGCTAATAAGTGTTATGTTACTGCTTCAAACACGTACGGCTACCATAGCTCAGCATCACACCTGATTCATTATAAAGTATTCAGGCCAATTTTGAAGAAATAATTTACTATCTTTCCGAATGAAAACGATGTTGATCGGTGTTCTTTTTGCTGTTTCACTAATTCACTCCTTACCTTGTCAACATAATTTAGTTTTTCAGAATGATTTAAGTTAGTGTTTTAAGGAAACAATATATTCTTGATATGTCAATGTATCTACATTATAGCAAATAGTTACACACGTCCTCATTGGCGTAATTCCATTAATTTGAACAGTATAATAGTCGGATTTGTACCATCGACTCTGCTTAATGCAGATATTTCTATTGGATATGGAAAGGGTTTTGTCGCTGTATTCCCATTAATTAAGGACGTGTAGCGCATCGATTACATCAGCTATCAATTCCAACTGCACTTCACACTTCGATTCCAACTCTTGATGTTGTATTTCGTTGTATTACAGCTATTCAATATCTTTTCAAACATATACTACCTTGCTATATTACCGTCCAGCCACTGCCAACTCTCTACTCACAGCCAGCCTATTGACATAACAATATTGACCTGTACAGTCCGCTTGTGTCCACCCTGTTTCACATCCCACTGTCACAGTCCCCGGTTGAGCTGGAATACTATTGTAAAATAGTAACCCTCTCATAGAGGAGAGTCACAACATTCAGCAATTGGGTACAATTTCGATACATATTTCAATGTTTCACTGTGTTCAATTTATAATGTAAACTACGGTTGTCACCTTCTCTGCAGTCTTCACTCATCCACCCTGGCTCACACCCGGCAACACATGTCCCTCGTACGTGATCACATGGCGAGTCTCCCGCACACTTCCTGTCAGTACAAGCATTGCTGCATTTCTGTCCATAGCTTCCACTTGAGCATGCTGTGGAGGAATAACAATGAGTATATTACAAAGCATCTATTGCTAAGAAGTGTTATGTTTATTACTTATCTTAATTATCGCATCTTTAATGTTATCTAACTCCTCTATAAACATAAATGTAGTTTGTGCCATCGCCATGGATCGGTTAAAACAGGATAGCATCAGCGGTAATGTGTTCTAAATGGTTAGTTTTTAAATGTATGATCAAACCGTTCCCCATTGCCCTGAAAGAAAAACCGTAAGCAGGCAACATCACATCATACAATGGTTAAATTATATTTAACAGTGTTTGAACATAGCTGTCATGAACATAATACAAAAGGTATTATTTCAGTTTTTCCTGGATGAATCCCTATAGTACTTGTTCTGATTATAAGTCGGTCTCCAAGCAAGAATGCATCATTCAGAATGCATCTCAGATGTTCTTCATTTTTTGTTCTTTAAGCGACGTTCGTGACCTCGATGTTTTTTGTTTGCGATACGTTTTATGTTAAAACTCGGGCTTGCATTTGTCTTTAACGACGAAACGTGTCTCAAGAGCCTGTAAACCGATTTTGTCCAAATGTTGGTCGTGTATGTAGACTAAGAATTACATATTCAAAGGTCTCATGAAATAATTAATTTAATATGACATAACTCCATATGACATAACTTCGAACGAAATATGTCCATTACTTAAACTCCATTGCTACTTCTGGCGTGATTAAGGCAACTCCAGTTTCGGTCGGTTTCGTTATTCTTTCTCAATTTGTAACAGAGATATTAGTACTTCTGGTGCATTACAACTAAAACCCAAGTCCTATGTCTCTGGTTCACAGTGTAATAAAGGTCTTACTACTTCCGATTTTGTAGAACTCCCTTCCAGTTTCTGAAAACACTACACTAAAACTTTAACTATTCAAGTTTGTCTAAGAACGTAATTAACTCTTGTTGTAATTAGAGGACACTATGACACCAGATATCGCTGTTTACAGAACTGGACTGACCTTATTTTTGAAATATGTGAGGCGAGAAGGGGTGTGTGGCGTGGTCTTGGAGACTAGATATTTAATAAAAAATAGATATTTTACATATAAAAGTAACAATATGAGCCTTATTGTTCTTAAAGCCAACTGCGTGGTATGTTGCACATAATATACACCCCTAGTATGTCTTATTTAGACTCGAATATTTACAGGTAGAACATAGTTACGTGCGTCATTAAACATGTGCAAGATCAAGATTGTTTGCAGTGGAGTACGACAGATTTAATGGATGCTCTTTCAATAGTTCCAACCTGGTTTGTCATACATGGGTCTCACTTGTATGATCACACAATTTTAAGATTAATATATTGAGTTGTTGGGTGTTTGTGGAATAATTCATTGTCATGTTGCCATAACGTAGCTGCAGTGTTGCTGACTAATATACATTTTACTAACATATACCAATTTATCAATCACGTTTTGTTAATAGCAACGACGTGAAAATAGACCAGGACTCCTAATCCCGAGGAATCAATGTTCTGGGCAATGGAGAAGTGGTCTACAGTCTCCAGGACAGACACCACCACCGACTGCATCTCCTCACCTGTATCACACCTGTCTCCCTGCCACCCTGATCTACAGTCTCCAGGACACACACCACTAACTGAATCTCCTCACCTGTATCACACCTGTCTCCCTGCCACCCTGGTCTACAGTCTCCAGGACACACACCACTGACTGAATCTCCTCACCTGTATCACACCTGTCTCCCTGCCACCCTGGTCTACAGTCTCCAGGACACACATCACTGACTGAATCTCCTCACCTGTATCACGCCTGTCTCCCTGCCACCCTGGTCTACAGTCTCCAGGACACACACCACTGACTGAATCTCCTCACCTGTATCACACCTGTCTCCCTGCCACCCTGGTCTACAGTCTCCAGGACACACATCACTGACTGAATCTCCTCACCTGTATCACGCCTGTCTCCCTGCCACCCTGGTCTACAGTCTCCAGGACACACACCACTGACTGAATCTCCTCACCTGTATCACGCCTGTCTCCCTGCCACCCTGGTCTACAGTCTCCAGGACACACATCACTAACTGAATCTCCTCACCTGTATCACGCCTGTCTCCCTGCCATCCTGGTCTACAGTCTCCAGGACACACACCACTGACTGAATCTCCTCACCTGTATCACACCTGTCTCCCTGCCACCCTGGTCTACAGTCTCCAGGACACACACCACTGACTGAATCTCCTCACCTGTATCACACCTGTCTCCCTGCCACCCTGATCTACAGTCTCCAGGACACACACCACTGACTGCATCTCCTCACCTGTATCACACCTGTCTCCCTGCCACCCTGGTCTACAGTCTCCAGGACACACACCACTGACTGCATCTCCTCACCTGTATCACATCTCTCTCCCTGCAAGCCTGGTCTACAGTATCCTGGACACACACCACTGACTGGGTCACACGTTGCTTGGGGGCAATGGCAGAACATATTGCAGCTATCGCCGAAGGCTCCTGGGCTACAAACTTAAAATAGGATGATAGTGAATATTATTGCTTCCAATGTCTGTATTAACAATTTTATCAGTTAGCTTAACAGTACCAAATATGATATATTATCCAACATCAGAAAGAAATCAATAACGATTTTTGTTGGGTCTTTACTATTTTGTTTTACAGCTTGTTTAATTTAGATGTAGCTGGGTGTGTTGGAGGGTGTTACTGTACATTAAATTTCTATATTTAGAAAGAATGTAGGCCATCCGGTCACTAATTAGAATGTTTCAATACGAAAACGTACTATTTTTATGTAGCTATATTATATTGTCCGCTATGACGTCAAAACACGAGGGAGTTGTCTAATGTACAAAGAGAAAATGACATAACTGCGCTATGTTAAACTGTAAGCCATTTTAAATCCGCATGCGTCATGTCCGTGGTGAACATTTGCAATGGCTCACGACGAAACGTTCTATTTTATTTTCGATCCTGTGTACCTAAACAGTTCCCATAGAGCTATCGATATTGATTTAGATTATCATCTAAAATGTCCTGAAGACATAAGTTGGTAATGATAAAGTGATGAAATCAGATACGTTAAGGACAGAAAGTAAGGTTTTCTCAACACTCATATTGAAGCAGTGAAAATACAAATATTCAATTCACGATTGAAACAGTAAACCACTTCATGAAATGAATGTGTTGTGTACTGATTCACCCGCACACCAAAGAAAGTAAAAAATATGTACAACGATGTTGATGTTGACAGTAGGTTTTTCCTTGATGCAGGGATTGCATACATGCATACACGAGTCATGTAAGTTAAATAATCAGAATCAATTTGCGCCCTCTGTTTTTATATTACCGTTGATACTACGTAGAAAGGAAGAACGGTACCATCGCCGGTCACGTTCTTTTTAACATTATCCAAAATTGACGTTTGGATCAAATTTTGTACGGCATTTCGAAAACGAATATACAGTTACTGGAGACTCTTAAGGATTATCATTGGTGCTTTGATAAAAAGCAGACATCAGATACTTTTGAACTTCCTATGAAGCTATCCGTTATTCGAATAAATAATTAAATTGAGAATGAAGAATTGGCAAAATGCGCAAAAAGGCGATTTTTTTGCTGTACATTATGTTAAGATGTCACCCAGCCTACCGTTACGAATAAAACTATGAAATGTATAACCTAGAGAATGCAAATGACATCTTTTAAAGTTTGCTACAGGGTTATTCTACTTACTTACCTTTCATTGGTCCTATTTTGAGTGGTGACACTTAGGTTAACCGAAAAGCAGAAGTTTCCGACGTAAATTGGAGTAGCCATTTTTTGTTTGAAATTAACGTGTAATTATGCTATCAACAATTATCCGTACCATAAATCTCCACCTCACACAGATTTAGCATTGTGCTATGTCTGATGGTGAAGTATCTCCCTGTGCCGTCACACGTCACGTCGTACACGCTGTTGTTTGTTTTAGCTGTGTCAGAGGGGAATGTGTAGCAGGTGACGCCGGGTGTGGAGCTGTTGGAGTTACTCAGGGAGAGGACAGCAGTCCTGATCCGCTCAATATCTAAAACAGGCAATGAAATAAATGACATACTGACGAAGGGTGACAATGTGTTTCTTTAACAATGACAACTAGCATATCAAAGTGACTCAGTTCACCTATCATCTTGTTACTAAACATGTGTGAACGTCAAATAAGACCATGTGACCACATTCAGTTTACCCATGGAGATTCCGGGGTAGAATAGGTCTTCAGTAACCCATGCTTGCCGTAAAAGGTGACTATGCTTGTCGTAAAAGGCGACTAACGGGATCGGGTGGTCAGGCTCGCTGATTTGGTTGATGCATGTCATCAATCCCAATTGCGTGGATTGATGCTCATGATATTAATCACTGGATTGTCCGGTCCAGACTCGATTATTTACAGACCGCCGTCATATAGCTGGAATATTGCTGCGTGCGGCGTTAAACAACAAACCAACCAACCAACAAGCATTCAGTTTAAATGTTTAGGAAACATTTTAAGTTATGTTTGATCAGCATGAACTAACATGTTTTGTGATGCTTCAACGTAATATCCCAATAAATCAAATAACATTGTCCGAACTGATACACACATCCTGCCCGGTTGTATATCCTGACGTCGTGTATCCTGTACTGCTGTCCGAGGTCCACTGTCCACACAGCTCCACGGGAAAGAGAAGAGATGAAGCAGGAGTTGCCGAACACATACTGGTCCCGGTTCCCATCTACAACTTTGTCTGCAGTCCAGCCATGAAATGAGTATTCAGTTTGGGATGAAGTTGCTGTCTGTTTGTAGGCAATGTTTCCTTACACGAAAATAAGTACGAAGAAAAATTACTTTTAAAAATGTAATTTATTATATGGAAAAGTAAGTGTTTTAACTTCCTAGGAATGTGATCCTTTTGGATCCAACAGATCGTATTTTCAAAGATATGTCATACAAATACCAGGCCTTCACCAGTATGGGTTATATTGTCCGAAAGCTTGCATAGCTTTTCTATTGTAAGCCAACCTTTATGCATAAAAAGCAATGTTTACCTTTGTCTTTTACATAATAATTTTGGCATATTTGAAAAGGCTCACTTCATAGAAAAGAATATTTCCACCTGAAAGAGAAAACTACGGGAAATCATCAATCACAGGAAAAAAATGCTGTAATTGTTACTATACCACCCCCGACTTCAGAAGCAAGGTTAAACCCAAATAAGACTAAACAAGACAAACAAGGTCATAAATAACATCACGTCCAAGATTATGGCACTTATATAGAAACGTGCAAGCACGTGTGATCCGCTTGTACTAGTCCGAACTAATACCGATAATAATAGTGCTAGCCCCATTGAGATACCATGCCACGGATTAACATGGATACCCCACTCAGACACAGTATAATGTCTCCGAAACGACCAGGCCTAGTTTTTACCGCTCAATACCGAACGTCAGACAGGGTAACAACAAGTTGAAGTCTTTTGGTATGACGTGGATGGTGATCGAAATCCCGACATTCCGCTCTCCTGGCGGATGCTGCACCACAAGACGACAGGGGCGTACCTTGAAACTATGTGGACTGACTGTCAACCACTTGGTTACTGAACATGATTGCCTCACCAATGTCATGTGACGTAAACCACATATTGACGACCATCTTGTTGTTGAAGCCAGTGAAGTTGCGCTGGGGAGGCTTTGTTCGAAAATAGCCGGAAAGATGAAATAGTGAAGATCCATAGTTGCTCTTCAATAACGCAAGATACGAAAATATACGGAAGTTACGTTTGTAAAGGGCTATGCTAGTTTTGACTTCACTTAGTATCTTATAAATAGTATTTCCTTGCTCAATATACGAATCACATGCAAGAATGTTATGCAGAGTGTCTGGTTGATTATGTTTGGATCTTTGTATTTTCTTTTGATTTTATGTGAGGCAATATATCTTCCGGAAGACTAAATTTGGTTTTAAAAGTATGTGAGATAGCAATAGCTGATACTCGGTACTGCTCTACTTTTATTTGGATTGCAAGAATGATGTTTGTTTGCAATTTGCGACGGTACCTCTAGACACCGGTGCCGTAAAAATACCAAGATGTATGGGTGGTATCCAGAGCCCCGTTCCACAACGCGATCGTAGCGATACGACAGTCGTAAGTCTATGTTAAAGTTTGGGAGTTACGATCACCTTATCACTACAATCGCTTTGTGGAACGGGGCCCTGGAGGTCAGTATCTGTAGATTGGATTCTTCATAATTCGGGAGCGATTCAGAAGGGGGTGATAGTCTTATAACGCCAGCACCTCGTTACGTTCCTTCTTTCAAATCTAATCTTGTGACAGGAAAACTCACCTTTCTGACAGGTTTGCCCATTCCCACCAAACCATCCAGGATCACAGGCACCGTTGCAGACTCCCGTTGTCTGGTTACAGGGTGGAGTACATTGGCATGAGTAGCTACACGTGTCTCCGAACCTTCCTATCGGGCAGCTGGTACCTGAAAAATGTAGAACAAAGGTTGGAATCAGGTTAATGTTCCCGCAATGCTCTCCAAGCCCAATTATCCATCAACACGTTCAAATATAAGCATGGATCAGTCACATACTTCGCACAGTCAGATAACTTTGATACAATAGATAAAGAGTCTTTGTAAAGTAATTTTGGAGCAAATATGCTTCAGACAGATTAAGACTCAATCCAGTTTGGGCATACTTAGTAAAAATACAATTGTTGTAGTTAAACCCTTGTGTATACATAATAGATTTAGACAACTGCATCAGGACATATGCATTCTTGGCCCATGTGGATTCTAAACGAATTGATCTGCACTAGCCTTTGCATGTCATAAGAGTAAGCTAAAATGCACTAGGTAGTCATGCCCTGTGACATGACTAATTGACACTTTCAAGTTCAAGTTCAAGTTCAAGTTCAAGTTCAGAGTATCAGAGAGTACGTACGTTTCAAAGGTAACCACATTTTAAGTTATTGTTTGAAACATATTGGGAATTGAGGCAAATTGCATTATGTTATGTTCCGAACGAATGTGATACCTGCTTAAACCCACTTAGAACTCAATGCCACACTCACTTTAGACCAATTTCCGTGCGTCAATGTATGTTAAGATAAACATGTCTGATAACACATCTAGATGAAAAGAATACAACTGAATACTCTATTCAGTGTCACATATTCATTATAACGTATTATAATGTATAATGAGGAGATATGTTATCAGATAAATTAGTCAATTGCCAGCTCGTGTTATATACGTTTCATGTTCCCCTTTTTATTTCATTTTGGGTAGCTATAGTCACGGGAATATATAGTCAATACAACTTGGAATGTTAACAGTATGTCATAAGTTGTTACGTCGTGGTAACTGTATGTATTCTTGGATGTTCAATTTGTATTTGCCAACAAAAAAAACCTCGTGAAAATGTACAATTAAGATGTGATAATATTATCATATCACACACAAGGTTTATTGCGACCTTAGTGTCTCTGCTGTTGTTGAGTTTATGCCGTGTAGTGATGCTATTCATACGTACCCCCATGACTAATATGAATGCGAGTAGCTGGATGTTAACACATTTCTTGCGTTTGTCGTTCCTCAACACCTACACGTTTTGAATTAAATGAACGGTTGCTAATATAATAGTGTTAATTATTGACACAACTATATTTTAACTATGATTCTAATTACTAGTATTTAACAAAACATAAATACATCCAGAATCTGGAGAAACTATTCGGATAATTGCTATCATTATCAAAAGAATGTAATTTAGCAATATCTAGCTAAATGGTGTTATTGGCCCGCCTGATTAATCTACCTTAACTTATAGATCTAATCTTAATGTAATTCCAGGCATATCCAAGTAGTCTATGTACATCGTGTATTCCCTTTCGTCCACATGGACACATAGGCGCATACTCATCTGTTCATACACAAGCATATTCAAGTTTACATAATCACTCTAAGTTATAATCATGATATAATGATACATTCGGTGACTCCGCAATAATTATCACCCTTCATTTTAAGATACGCAACAACCACAACCATAAGACGTGGCCTTGTTGCCAAACAATTTTTTCTCCTTGTTATCGTCTTTTTTTGTTTCTCAAGTGACGTCATGTTTATGACGTCATATATATTACGTCATTTCAAAAACACTCACTTCGCTATCTTTATCCGCTACAGTACACGAGTATACACCTACATAAAAATTACCCACCCTCCCTTCCCTCGCTCTTGTCGCACCTTCATGTACATAGCAGCAAAATGTAAAAACCTTATAATGTTGTTGTTGTTGTTGCTGATTATCGCTTTATATCAATAAATACCGTTAGGTGTGGAAAGGTTTGGACGGGCGCTGGACCGATAAGGTTTCGCTCGTATGCCTGCTTGACAGTGGGAGCCCGTTCCAGCCCTCATGCTTCCGTGGGTGGACACAAATGCATATAGCTCGTCTGCTGTACAGTAGAGAGCACATGGTTTTCGCTGCTGCTGCTCGGAGTTATCTCCCTTTGCTCGGTCTAGCGCCCGTCTCCGCCTTCCACACCTGGCCTTTTATTTACAAACATTCTCTTCTGTTCCGTTCCATAGTCCATACGAGGTCGGCCGATAACAGTCTAATATACTGAAAATCAGTGTCTAACAGTGATGTAGCTAAGGCATTTTATAAGTTTTGGCAACTTTGGCAATTTCGAAGCAATTTTGCGAGAGCACTAGGCCTAGCCAAGCGGGATCAGTAGCCATATCTGTGCGTATAGACCTCTGCAGCTTGGCACCTTTTCCACAAATTAAAAGAGTTGGATTTGGCCGAAATATGTTCGAATTGTTACCTTGTTTTGTTTTGTCACTGTGTGTACATCTGACTGCACTTCTTAACGTTATGACAGGACATGCCGACTGTCAACAACGTCTGACCGTGGCCATCACGTTTCATAGACAAGGGTTAGAGTAACTTCCCTTTGACGAAGGGCAGTTACTCTAGCGGACAGAACGATGGAAATGCAAGTAAAAACGGTTGTTGTTTTGGGTATATGTTGTTTCGTCAGTGTATAAGAACAGATTTCAGTTGGAACAAATTGGCTACTGTCACTGTCCGACTGACACATCACTAACCCTGTGGCGTAATAAATATTTTTGCAAGCATTCCAGGAAAACTCGCAATGTTTTGGTAATGTTTGTGAGAGATGGAAAGTGATTTTCAAGCACAGAATTAAAGAATGACATTATATGATAGAGAGGTTATTACGCGAGTGTGTTTGGGGATGGTTAATATCCTGTATTAGGAATAAACACTATGTATTAAGCGAGCCTTGGCAATAACTCGCGTGATAACCTCTACAACTCTTGCATATAACAATTGTAACAACACGTGAAGGGATATTTGAATGTCATACAAGGCGCCATTTAAGTCTCGTCGACCCAGGAAATTATTTCCAAGCAGAAATATTAATCAAGAATTGTAAATAAGTGTCATCTCCGACGTTTTATCATTTTACAGGATAATAAATGTATAATTCTGACATACTTGGCTTAAAACAGTTTTCGAACAGTCGAAAACGAATTAACCTTCATATATCGCCATCTGTCACGCATTTACTGCCAACTGCATACTTTAAGCAGAAAAAACAGCAAATTTACAAAGGGGCGAATGATTGATATGTTATAGGCCGATACTTTCAGTCACGCACAACAGTCAACATGTTAACCTTCCCAAGGCAATATTACCAACTAAATCCTGACAGATACATCTGTAATATAACTGATATCTGTGAAGCGGATGTACCCCAGATTTTACTTTTGTAACTCAATAAATGCAGAAACTTAATTTAGGTAATTTCTGTTAAATAAATAATTACTAATAACAACTTTCACAGAATTCTTATTAATCAACCCATGAAGATCTGCTGAGTAGTTTACTTTAGTAACCTATACTTGTCGTAAGACTACGACTAGAGGGATCGGGTGGTCAGACTCGTTGACTTGGTTGATGCATGTCATTGCTTAGGTCGTTGCTGATCATATCACTCACTGGATTGTCGGCTCACCGCGGCCGTTCCCGGCATAATTCTTAGTGGCATAGACAAGGGGTGTGTGTCTGTACCATTACACAAGGTATGGCTAGTTGTTCAGGTGGATGCAACCAGGCGTTAATGCTTAGTCTACCTTAGAACGAACACAATTAGTTTGTGAAAAGTTAAAAATGTTAATCAATAGTAATAATGATACTGGACTAAAGTTTGGAGGCATGAATCCAATCCCAGCAAAAAGGATCTGGGAACGAGTGATACTTCCATGCGGGCTCTATGGATGTTATGTCTGGGGACTATTAACCCTCACAGAATACGATATGCTGGTAGTTATTAAACGTTATTACAGTAGAAAATACAGGGCCTTCCAAAATGTACATCAGGTACTGTTGCTGTGGACAACATGGGCTTGATATCTCTCCAATCCTTTATTGACAAACAGTCACTGCTACTACTTGGAAAACTATGCCGGTCCAGTTACAGCTATGTTTTTAAAAAGGTATTCATTACTCGCCTTGGGCAGTTTAGATACGAAAAAGCGTTGGATAACTTCAGAATCGATGTGCTTTGTCACCTGTATATAACATGCTTAGACTTGTCAAAAAATACAATCTCTATGCAGTAATAGAAGATTATCTAATTAAATGTAGCTTCCCAAGTAAAAAGGCATGGTCTGATATTGTTAAGGAAAGGATTATTTTTGCAGACCAGGAAGCTGTATGCTCTAAGCTGCTATCTAGACTTAACTTAATAGATATGTTTCACTACGTAATGATAAAGAACACAGACTCTGGCTGCTTGCACTTGAACGTCCTGAACAGTTCCCAAACCTGTCTCATTTTGTACGGCTGGGATGCCTAAATATAGAATCTAGGGAATGTCGATGTAGAATTGTAGGTCATGATATTATTAAGCATGTCTTTTTGTATTGTACATTGAATATGAATGACAGAAATGAACTATGTGATAGATGTCTCTACATTTGCAAGACTATGTAGTGAGGACGATGATATAATCCTGTCTGTACTACTTGGCGGTATGCCTGATTGTGTTAGCTTTTTTTCTCAAAGTCTGTGGGGTGACCGTATGGTTATTGTGTCAAGATACTGTAGGACATGGCTGTATCTGTTACAAAACAGTTATAAGAATACTTGATTGTCATGCATTTTGTAGTTATCATTTCTCATAATATTGTTAAATTGTACTACTGTACAGCTCTGTAATTATACATAATATCATATATGATATGTATCTTCAATATCTGGAGGAAATAGAGAATATCAATACTGTCGCTGAGGAGGAGATAGCCACGCCCAATGTGTCAGCCTGGCTAGTGACAAGGATAAGTCGGGTGTTATCCAGGTCAGTTGGAATCAGGAGTCGTTGTATAGGGCTCAGAAAAAAAGATAATTCTTTGAAATCAATATAATCTAAAGTGTCTGAATTCTGGGA